CCCCCCCCCCCCCCCCCCCCCCCCCCCCCCCCCCCCCCCCCCCCCCCCCCCCCCCCCCCCCCCCCCCCCCCCGGTGTATGTTGCTGTATGATCGCTGACGTTGAGGCGGTGTCGTCGTCGTTGTTGGAGAGTGCGAGTTGTTGTTGGTTTTTTTTTTTAGAACCGAGTGTCCGGCTCTGGGGACCAGCGGGAGGCAAGGCCGCGGAATACTTGCGGCCAATGTCATTTAATAGTGTCCTTGGCTTGGAATGAACATTGTGACGCAAAGGTCATATCAACTAACGAACAGTGCCTGTGTCATTCTCATTACAATACTTCGTAGTAATAATAATTGGCTGTCCCTACTGTAGACCAATCAGTTTCAAAGACAATGCGTTTATTACACGATGTAACACACTTTTTGTTCCTGGGCGGTAAGTGTTATTTCGTAATTTCTTATGCCTAAAAAGTATAGAAAATGGGCTATTATTCCCCACAAACTTTGCTTTTGTGACCAGGACAGTGATATTTTGAAATTGACCTATTTTCAATGGGAAAACGGGCGAATTTGTCTTTTCGTTCACATATGAATGAACATTTACATGTATTTATACTAAAGTAACAAAAAAATGACTACAAAAGATTTAGAAGTGAGTAGTTCTTCGAGATTTACGATTATGCTCCAAATAACGTTCATGAATCTGCCCACAAATGTAGTCTCCCATCATGTTCTCGTTCTACTGACCTTGGTAGCGGCGTTGAAAGTCCAGTATGTCCTGGTGGAAGCGCTCGCCTTGCTCCTCCAAGTACGCTCCCATGTTCTCCTTGAATTTATCAAGATGAGCATCAAGGATATGGACTTTGAGGGATATCCTATAACCCATTGTGGCGTAGTTCTTAACCAAACACAACGCTCTGATGATTATCAGAGCGTTTGTTTGCATGTTCACCACAAAGTACGCGTGGTTAATGCCGGATTTTATTCCTTGAAAAAGGTTTCTAATTTGGTGTTTGAACATCCTAACGACTCCTCTTTTATTGCCAGAAAGGGTACAAACTTCTTCCTGTTTTTTTCCCCTACTTTGATACTGGCAAAAAGGTCCCTTGACAAAAAAAAGTGATCGCAACAACGAAATTAGTCCCAGGTCTGAAGCCTCCCCCCCCCCAGAAATGCGTGCGTGCGGGCTGGTAAAGATGACACTCCCTCCCCCTCCTTTTGTACGCGCGCCGCCGATTGCCGCCGTTGTGCGCGATGTGACTCACGAGGGTTTTGTGGTGGGTGGTGGTGGTTGTGTGTGGGCCTCCAGTCCCAGCAGATGAGTCCTCAGCTGGCGCTGCAGGTGCTACTGCAGTTCGACAAGGCGATCAACGCGGCGCTGGCGCAGCGCGTGCGCAACCGCATCAGCTTCCGCGTAAGCCACTCGCACCCGACAACAACCGCCATTCGCCACTAAGTGGTGGCGATGTCGCCACGACGCTTGTGCCAGGTTATCTGCACGTCAAAGCCACGTGAAGTGTCGAACGCCCGCTGGCAGGAGGTCACGGGACAGACGCAGGTGGTGCCATGGGTCGACTGACTGAGATGACTGGCCGATTCGCTCGCACACAAACACACAAACACACTAGCACAAACAAAAACGTAAGATTCCCCTATATAGCCTCAATAGACTTTTGGGGCAAGTGCTGTTATCGAGCGGCTATGAAGGCCAGAACGGTACACGAGGGGGTGGGTGGCCAGCACCAAGCCCGACCGCCTTTGTCTCCCAAGTGGTGATGTTTACACACTACAACAGGTACTCATTTGAGGCCGAGTCGACCTAGGGGAGGCCCATGACTGGTTCAAATAATCGTCACTGGTGTTGGCCGTGAGCAGGAATCGAACTCGGGCCTCTGGGTTCGTAGCGCTACACGCTAACCACGACACTACCGCTCCACGCACACACACGCTCAACCGCCCTTCCCCGGTATGTGGTGGCGGTGATGTCAATGCGGAACTCGTGCCAGGCTAGGTGCACTTTTGCGGCCGTGGTGTGACGTTTTGAAGGCTCGCTGGCAGGAGGTCACCGGGACAGACTCGGTGTTATGGATTGACTGACAGAGATGATGACTGACGGAGGCCACGCACGCATGCACGTAGACACACTCGCAAATGTACAGAGACGCACAACAGCTTGTGCCAGGCTAGAAGCGTGTAAGGCTCGCTGCTGGCAGGAAGTCATGGGGACCAGACCCGGGTGTTGACTGAGATGACTGGCAGATGCATACCAAGTGTGCCACCCATTGCACTGCGTTTCTCGCCGCCCAGCGCGCTCCGCTCGTTGTCGTGAGCATCGCTCCTCCGCTTTCCGTTGTTGCTGCAGTCTGATCAGCGCTGCATCTTGCATTCGCATCAGCCCATGTGTTCTCTCGCCCATGCTCTGCCGTTTAGCCCACTCGACTCGTACACTCTACCTGAATGTATTCCTACGCACGTAATTCAGTACTTGTATGTTAATACTTCTTTCGCAACATACGTAGCCAACCGTGCTAATCGGAGGATGTGAAGCATTGATTTTAATTGGTCTTTACTTGCCTAATTATTTATTTGTTCCCTTGTTACCCCCCACCCACCCCCCCCCCCTCCGTGTCACCAATTGTCCCCGCATCTCTGGTGCTGTACGTCTCCTTTTAATTCCCGTGCATCCCTGCCCCCCCCCATGTCCCCACAATGTCCCCACAATGTCCCCACAATGTCCCCACAATGTCCCCACAATGTCCCCACAATGTCCCCACAATGTCCCCACAATGTCCCCACAATGTCCCCACAATGTCCCCACAATGTCCCCACAATGTCCCCACAATGTCCCCACAATGTCCCCACAATGTCCCCACGCCAATCTCTCCCTGCGTCACCCATCCTCTGCCCGTGTCCCCGGCACCGTGTGTGTGTGTCCCCCCCCCCCGCCGCCCCCTCCCTCCCCCGCGTGCAGGGCTCTCTGAACACGTACCGGTTCTGTGACAACGTGTGGACCTTCGTGCTCAACGACGTGGAGTTCCGCGAGGTCACCGACCTCGTCAAGGTCGACAAAGTGAAGATCGTGGCCTGCGATGGCAAGAGTGAGCGCCCAGACACCATGGGCTCACACTCACCTCACACTCACCTCGCGCTCACCTCACGCTCACCTCACGCTCACCTCACCTCGCCCTCACCTCACCTCGCGCTCACCTCACCTCGCCCTCACCTCACCTCGCGCTCACCTCACCTCACACTCACCTCACCTCGCGCTCACCTCACCTCACGCTCACCTCACCTCGCCCTCACCTCACCTCGCGCTCACCTCACCACGCGCTCACCTCACACTCGCTTCACCATGCACTCGCCACAAAAAAGACAAAAGATCCCCGTATAGCCTTAACAGACTGTCCGGGCAAGTGCTGCTAGCGAGTAGCACCTGTGAAGGCCGGCACGGCGCACAAGAGGGTGTGCGGCCAGCACCACGCCCGACCGCCTCGTCTCCCCAGTGGCGATGTTTACACCACACCAGGTACTCATTTGAGGCCGAGTGGACCTAGGGGAGACCCGGGACCCGTTCAGATATAATCGTCACCGGTGTTGGCCGTGATTGGGAATCGAACTCGGTTCGCCGGGTTCGTAGCGCAGAAACCCACGCACACTCGTGGAGCTGCGATTAAACCGGGGGGGGGGGGTCCCGGTTTAATCGCAGCTCTGCTCGTGTGCGTGGGTGTTTCTACGCGAGCCTACCGAGTGTGTCGGCGAATCGTCCGAGACCGTCGGTCGATTCGTTGCGCTTGAGAACCCATTTTAATCGCAGCCGGCGCCGACTTGGCAGCGATCGGCCCTTGAGCCACCGGGCTGCCTCTCTCCCCCTCTCTCCCTCTCTCCCTCTCCCTCAGTGGGCCGCTCCCCGCTAGTGCTCGCCGTGACATGCGGTCCCCCCTCCCCTGTGGCTCCTCTCGTTGGTCACAGCCTCGGGCTCGACGTCTGCGGAGTGAGGAGGAGGACGAGGAGCGGTGGCGGAGTGTGGAGCATCATCGGAGCGGCGGCTCGCTCACCGTCCACCAGCCCCCGATATACAGTGTCCAGTCGCCCACTCACCCACTCCCTCGCCCTCCGCCAGCCCCAGTACACGCAGTGCACTCACCCACTCCCTCACCATCCATCCCACCACTCCCTCACCATCCACCAGCCCCAGTACACAGCATCCACTCACCCACTCCCTCACCCTCCACCAGCCCCCGATACACACCGTTTACTAACCCACTCCCTCTCCATCCATCCCACCACTCCCTCGCCATCCACCAGCCCCAGTACACAGCATCCACTCACCCACTCCCCCGCCCTCCACCAGCCCCAGTACACAGCATCCACTCATCCACTCCTTCGCCCTCCACCAGCCCAGCATATATCGACGCGATCTGCTGGCCCCACTCCGTGCACACGCTGCTCAGCGCCGTCCACTCGCCCGTTGCCGTGCCCGTCGCGTTTCGCCTCTCCCACTTCCACCCTGCGTGGCCCTCCAGCACCACGGCCGAGTCGCCCGCTCTGCACTCAAGGTTGAAGATGCAGGGTTGTCGTCGTTGTCGTGGTGGTGATGATGATGGTGGTGGTGGTTGCAGCAAGCCGCCCTCTGGTGGTGTGAAACCCGGACTATAAATATAGCCCCGTCAAAGAGAATGACTCTTGACACTTGATTCAGACTGATATTTGAAGGCGTTGTAGATCCTGAGTCCGAGGAATAGATTTAAATTTGCAAAATCATTCCAGCACGTCCACTCATACTCTCTGTTTCTTTCGGTAAAGTCACTTAGGTAAAAATTAAAATAAAGTTAATCAAAAAAAATTACTTTAGTAATGATGATGATTGCTTGTGTTGCAATCGAAACGTCGTGATTTGATTAACTTTATTTTTACCTACGTGACTTTACCGAAAGAACCAAAGAGCATGGATCATTGTAGTCACGAAAACTTCAAATCTAGAATCACGTCCACTCATTGACTCCGCCTCCTCGTTCTCGTCGCTATGCTGCTCCGGTCACTCCCCCCACAACTCTCGCTCGCCATCCTCCCAGCTGCCATCGCTCGCCCGTCACCCTCTCGGCCTCAATTACTCTCCCATAATCCTCCCAGCTGCCATCGCTCGCCCGTCATCCTTCCAGCTCCCCATCATCCTCCCAGCTCCCATCAAGGATCTGAGTGAATCTGCTTTAAAATCCCAACCCCGCCCACAGCTTTGCTGTTCCAGGCTTAAGTTGCACCACCCACACTGTTGTAACCCCTTGCATAAAAATAGTTAACATTTTAAATTGAATTTTTTTTCTTCCCTCTGGCGTCTCTTTATGTTCGGTGTAATTTATTTGTCGCAGTTTTGACGAGAGCCCCACACGTTACCAACGGCGCAACGTTCGATTTTTTTTTTAAATAAAGGATTTTCTTTGGTTTTCTATTGTTGCTGGTGGTCAGTGATTTTTATTTTTACTTACAGCCGGCACAGTCCGAGACAAACGACGTTCCGGGAATTAAATTTGGCCACGCCACATCCCCATCTTCACCTCCCCCCCCACCTCTTCTGACACTGGTGGTGGCTGGCCTGCATACGATCAATCCTGGGTTTAACCAGGCTGGATTGCGAGGAGCTCCCAAATCCTTGAAAGGTCTGGGTAAAGTCCCACCGGTGAGCTCCTCTGGCAGGCAAGGCTGCGTTGGCTGAGTCGTGTAGCCCCGCATGCCCAGCCACCACGTGCCTTAAACAGCTTTGGTTCGGCCTGGATAGAGGGGGCTAAATGGGCGTGGCACGGGCTAGAGAAGAGATGGAGTGATGTGGTACAGGAGGATGTGGAGCTGAGTGGACTTGCCGATGGCTGGTACCAGCAGTGTTAAGATCGGCCTCTGGAGGAGGCTTGTAAAGGATGCTGCTGCTACTGGGCATTCGGAGGCAGTTGCTCTCCAGCAACAACAGAGGGCAGAGGACCGACAACGAGTGGAGCGCCGGTCGGATAAAACACACCAAGTCGGTACAGTAGGGGGCACAGGTGGTGCATCGGCCACTCATCTCGGTCGGTCGTCCCATGGCACCTGGATCTGTCCCATAACCTGCCCGCGGGCGTACGGCACTTCACGTTGCCTTAAAGTGTGCACAGCCGTGCGGATGTCAGCGCCACTTCGTGGCGCCCGGCGGTTGCCGTGTTCGGTGAACGAGCATGCGAAACCAGGCCATCCGAGTTCAATTCCCGCTCGTGGCCACGAACACCGATGACGATTATCTGAACTGCTCCTGGGCCTTTCCCTAGGTCGACTCGTCCTCAAATGAGTACCTGGTGCGGTGTGTCGTAAAACATCGCCACTCGAGAGACAAAGGTGGGCCGGGTTGTGGTGCCGACCACGCAACCCTTCGTGTGCAGTGCCGGCCTTCGTAGGTGCTGCTCGCTAGCAGTACTTGCCCAAACGGTCTGTTAAGGCTACAACACGGGGGATCTTTGGTGAACATATATAAGATGTTATTGCAGTGGTAGTGCCTGATAATCCCAACTTCCCAAACCAGCCGTCGGGTCGCCCACCAACGACCAAATCCAGACGTGTTTCTCAGTCGCACTGGGCCGATGATCAACACCGCAGTACACAATCGCGGTGAAGTTCTACACCGGTTTCCAGATCTCGGTTACAACTCGAAGAAGTTCCCGAGATGGGAATTGCCGTGTTGGGGTAACCTGCACCGACGGCCACCTGGATGGGAAACGGAGCGCAAGCCATTCCGACCTCGGCGCAGCGGATTTTCATTGCTGGCCATCGACCAAATTCGGTCACCGCATTGGGCGCTTTCTCAGATGCGCTTCTGCGGCCGTCTGGAACGCTCTTCCAATATTAGGAAGCCACTGGAGCTATGCGCTTTGAAATCATCTCGATTGACAAACTCCTTTCTTTAAAACTGCTTGTGTTTAGTTTGCTGTCCTCCCCCCGCACCTCCGATTCGCCACGGTTGGCTTGCGTACGGCGCGAAAGAAGTTGTGCGTAACGCACACCGCAGCTGACAATCTGGGTGCCACAGCCGATGTCGTTTGCTGCGACTTGTCAGATTGTCTTGCTGGCAACTCGACGCGCGTTGAAGCAACTCTGCAGCAAAGCGGTGGCAGCAACGGCGCCTCGAATCAACAAAGTTCCTGGGTTCGGTTCTTGTCTCGGGTGCATTTTCTTCCTGAGAGTTTGCATTCTCTCTCCACCCCCCCCCCCTTCTGCTGTGAGGGACGCGGGCCCCCGGCGCCCCCCTCCGGGGGAGGGTTGATCTCGGGAGGGCTGCAGGTTGCGGACTCCTCGCTCGTGTGAGAGCCGCCGCTATCCAACTCCTCGCTCGTGGGGAGAGGGCTGCCGCTCCCCGGCTGCGACTTGACAGATTGTCTTGCTGGCACCCCTCGTACGCGCTGAACCGGGGGTCAGGGGTCAGAGGACAACGACGTCCTTCGCACACGCGTCGCCAACAGAGGGCGGGCAATGGAGATCGTTTAAAGGGCTGCGGGGCGGGGATTCGGAGTCGGTCTTAGGGCGACACACCAATCGCACGCGCGGGACGGGGGGTCGGGGGTCAGAGGGCAGGGACGTCACTCGTACACGCGTAGCCGATTGGGCGGTTGTCTCGGAGATTATTTAAAGGGCAGTATGAATAATCCCACGTGTACCCGGGCGAGTTCGCCGTCCGCTCACCGCGGGCACACGCTAAACAAAAGGCCGTGTGGATAACCTCGCGTGTACGCGGCCTGTCTACCTGACGCACACGTTGAACACACGGGCGCACGAGTAACCTCACGTGCCCCTGTACGAGTCTGCCACCGCTCGCCACACGCACACGCTAACCACGAGTTACACGCAGGGGCGAGCGCAAACACGCGGGCGAATACACACTCGCGCGTAAACACGTGGTACAACGACGGAGGAATCCTGGTCGGGCGCGCACACAATGGCCGCGTCGACAGATTTACCCGCGCGCAAATCCCCGTACCACACGACACCGTTCCACACTCGTAGAAACCACACGACAAGGTTTTATTGATCACTGACGATTTATTCCCGGCGTGTCTGCGAGCCACCGTTACCCGAGTCAGTCCGAGTCAGCAGGGCAGGTCTAACCTATCTCCCGATGGTCTAAACCCGATCCACCTCGTCCCCTTGGAATTAGACTCCCTAGGCTTGTACGCTTAAATCCCCACTCTCTCTCTTTCGTGCTCACTTTTCGCCTCGATGTGCGCGGGCCGTCGCGGGGGGACGAGGCTGCCCGAGGTTCTCGCGGGGAGTGGGGCCTGGCTTCGCTGAGACTCGTCACACGGACGACCCAGTGGCCGGCAAGCTGACTGCTCCGATGGCTGACTGGAGGAGAACGCGAACCCCCCCCCATTCTTCTCTCCCATTTTATCCTTCCCTGCATCAGAGGTCTGCCTGGCTGACCCGCGATACCCCACCGCCATCGGTGCGCCCGCCTCGGTGCCTTCAACGACGTCCGCTTCCCTCTCTACCCCTCAACGGGGGCCGCCGCTGGGCCGTTGCCATTGGCCACGGCGTGCAAGCGTACTTTTCCGGCCAATCAGGCGCTTCCCCTGGTGCTCGTGTGGACCTTCAGGACCCTAAACCTGCCAGCCAATCCGGCGCCTTACCGGCTGATCCTGTCTCCTGTGTGCTCTTAGCCCATCGTTTGTGGCCCCGTCCCCCTCCTTCTACCTGCCGTGCTGTGTGCGTCCTAACCGCGGCGACTGAGTGGCCTCGCCATGACCATGCAATTGCACGTCAATTCACGGCTCCGCGGTGTAATGCAACCCGGGGGAAGTCGGACAATTCCCTGGCCCCAGGAAACCGTGGGGGATGTCCCTACGAAGAGGGCCCCTGGGTGAAGACCTGGAGGCCAGGTGACCTCCCCACGAGGTTCTACGTGGGGGTGTGTGTGTGTGTTGTGTGGTGCCGCCGCAGTGGAGCCGCTCCAGCGGAGCCATGCCCACCGCCGCGACGCCGTCACCGATGCCTCGGATTTCCCGCCACTCTCCCGGGGCCGGTGCCTTCTCAGACGTCCGCGTTTTGCCCACTGCACAGTCGTGAGGCCGCCGCAGCAGAGCCGCTCTGCCGAGGTCGTGCCCACCACCGTGAAGCCGCCACCGGGGGATGCCGACGCCGACGTGGTGCACCCTCGCCGCTCCCACCCCCCCCCCCCCCCGCACGAATGCACACACGCCCCACGTAGAGCCGGGAGGGGAGGTCACCCGGCCGATAGGTTTTTTTCCAGAAGTCCATAATGGGATCGAACTTTATGGTTTCCTGCGGCCGGGAAATTGGGCGATCTTCCCCCTGTAGCTGGCGTGCACTGCGGCGCCGGGACCTAATATTAAAGTTGCATGGTCACGGCAAGGGCCATCGAGCCACCGCGAGTGGAATCACACACACACACGCACGTGTCAGTGGACTGGTAGCGGGAGAACAGAGAGCGGACGTTGGAGAGATCACTGCGGCGACATCACCCGAGCTGGGATCCGAGTATCGAAAGGGCGGGAAAATCCGAGCCCCTGATTGGACGGGAGGCCAAGGGAGCGAAACAGCGAAATTCCTTTGTTGTAGGTAGGATAAAGGGAGGGGGATTCAGGTAGCAAGTTCAGTTCTTCTTCAAGATCATCGCGGTTCCGGGAGCGGCAGAGTCAGCCGTCCGAGACGTCCGTGGGACGTACTCCAGCACCGTCAGGCTCGCCCCTCTACAGAGACAACTCGCCGCCTCATCCCCTTACAGCATTCAGCGCAGCAGGGTGGCAGTAAGTGCGAGGGAGAGAGGCGTAAGTCTAAGTGTTTTTAATCCAGGGTAGAGAGCGGGGCGATCGGTAGGAGGAATTGAATCGAAGACTTCCGAGGGATAGACTAGCGTCCACTGACCCACACCATCACACCTAGATTAAACTGGGTACTCGCGGCAAATAAAATCGCTAGCAGGGGGATAAAACTGCGTCGCGCGGTCTTTGAGGGTGTGGAGCGTGCTTGGTGTCCGCGCATCTGTACGATCACTTACAACAGTGCTTAGCGCTCGCGCGCCGGTGTGACTGTGTTACGATCGCTCGCCTGCACGAGTGTCTATAGCGAGGTAGCGAGCGACGCGCCAGGCGTGCGCGTATTCGCGCGGCGGTTTAAACGGCCCCTTCAACTCAGAACGCAGGGATCCCCTTCAACCAGCGTAGCGCACTGCAAGCGTAGAGCATACCGACCCACTAATAAGCTACGCAAACGCGGTCGACATCCCAGGCAGAGGTACAGGGGGGCGAGACGTTAGGGGCCGGTAGTCTGGACCTGACCGAGCAGCCGGGGGGTAAGCGATATGAATGGAACGGGGGAGTCGGTGGGCAACGGCCCCGACAATTCAGTGATGGCGGGGGACGGTAGCCCCCACGGCTCCGACGGTGCGGCTTCGCTGCTGTGGCCCCGCGCTGCA